GTCTCCAGCTCAGCGAGAGGTTCCACTCGGACTTTCCTGTTCTGCGTCTGCACTCTGACAGAGGTGGGGAGTTTTCCTCCGACCTCTTGCGGGACTTTTGTCGTGGGGAGGGCATTGAGCAGTCGTTCACGCTTCCGGCCTCTCCACGGCAGAATGGGGTTGCTGAGCGCCGCATTGGCTTGGTCATGGAGGTCGCTCGTACCTCCTTGATCCATGCGGCTGCCCCCCACTTTCTGTGGCCGTTTGCGGTCCGATACGCTGCGCATCAGCTCAACCTCTGGCCCCGTGTCTCCGTTCCGGAGACTTCGCCGACACTGCGTTGGACGGGAGAGGTTGGCGATGCGTCGGTGTTCCGGGTCTGGGGATCTCGTGCTCTTGTCCGCGATACGTCCGCGGACAAGCTCTCCTCCCGCGCTGTTCCTTGTGTCTTCCTTGGCTTTGTCCCGGACGCGTCTGGTTGGCAGTTTTACCACGCCACCTCGCGCCGTGTCCTACCCTCTCAGGACGTCACTTTCGACGAGTCGGTCCCCTACTACCGCCTCTTCCCCTACCGCACTGCCCCGCTCCCCCCCCCCGCCTCTCTTCCTCGCACCAGGTGCTGCTGTGGTAGACCCCCTCCCCCCTCAGGGTGCCGCTCTCTCAGGTGTGTCTCAGGTAGACCCGGTTGAGCCTGTCGAGGTAGCTGTCGACTCTCGTCCTGCTAGGGGTGCTGAGCCTGAGCGTGCGGAGCCTGGGGGTGCGGAGCCTGGGGGTGCGGAGCCTGGTGGTGCGGAGCCTGGGGGTGCTGAGCCTGGGCGCTTCTGGGGCTAGGGGTACTGCTGGAGCTGGTGCTCGTGGTTCCCCGCCTAGGTGGGAGCCGCCCTCTCCCCAGCGGCTCCGAGAGTGGTACGCTCGGCGCTGCAGTCTCCGGAGTGGCGCTACTGGTGCTTTGGACCCTGGAGCTGGAGCTGCTGCTGGTGCAGCGGACCCTGGAGCTGGAGCTGCTGCTGGTGCTGGTGCTGCTGGTGCTGGAGCTGCTGGAGGCACTGCTGGTGCTGGAGGTGCTGCTGGTGCTGGAGCTGCTGGAGGCGCTGCTGGTGCTGGAGGTGCTGCTGGTGCTGCTGGAGGTGCTGCTGGAGGTGCTGCTGGTGCTGGAGCTACTGGAGGTCCTGCTGGTGCTGGAGCTACTGGAGCCGCTGGTTCTGGAGGTGCTCGTACTGGAGGTACTGGAGCTGCTGGGGTTACTGGTGGTGCTGCGGGAGTTGTCGCTAGAGAACCTGGGGCTGAGGGTGCTGGTGCTGTCTCTGCTGGTTCAGGAGGTGCTGAGCGGCCGCGGCCGTACTACGTTCCGCTCCTTCAGCAGGTTCTTGGCCTCCCGCCCTCCACTGGTCCTTCTCCCCTACTGAGTCCACCACCTGTCCAGTCGCAGTCACAGTTACCGCTTGCCTCTCCGCTGCCTGGTCCTTCTCCTTACGCTGGGCCGACTAGAGGTCTTACGGAGCGTCGTGAGCCTGAGTCTCGTCCTGCGTCGCCTGAGTCTCGTCCTGCGTCGCCTGAGTCTCGTCGAGCGTCGCCTGTTCGTGCTGCTCGCACTGGTCGTCGTGTTCCGCGTGAGCGTCCTCCGCCTGTCCCTGGCACACACTATATGACTCTGCGTCCTTCCACTGCTCCACAGCGTGTCCCTCTGCCGTCTCCTCCTGCGTCCTCTCTTCCTACTCTTGCTGACCCGGAGTCTGACTCCCTTCGTGCTGCTAGTCCTACTGTCACGCGTCTCCTGGCCACTGTTGTCACTGACCCTTCCTTTGAGTCCACTGCTGCGTCTGCCTTAGTTGCTGAGCTTGTCGACTTTGCTGCTCACTGTCGTCTAGACTACGCTGCGAGTCTTGTTGCTGGGTCTGAGTCTGTCTGTCCTCCGTCTGTCGGGGGTGAGTGTGCTCTTGGCACGGACGTCCTTGAGGACAGGCAGGAGGAGTTTGAGTGCTTTGCCGCTGCTGTACCTCATCTTGTGGCCATGCTGCTTGCACCTGAGGGAGACCCGGATGCTCCAGACATCCCGACCCCGCGCTCTTACGCTGAGGCGATTGCGGGTGAGTACTCCTCTCAGTCGCAGACAGCCATGAACGCAGAGATGGCATCCTGGAAGTCCACTGGCACTTACGTCGACGACGTTCCCCCTCCTGGGGCGAACATCGTCAGTGGCATGTGGAGTTTCAGGGTGAAGCGGCCGCCAGGTTCTCCGCCTGTCTTCAAGGCTTGTTACGTTGCTCGAGGCTTCAGTCAACGAGAGGGAGTAGACTTCTTCCAGACCTTCTCCCCTACCCCGAATATGACCACTCTTCGGGTGCTGCTGCACGTTGCCGCTCAGCGTGACTACGAGCTTCACTCTCTTGACTTCAGCACAGCTTTCTTGCAGGGCAGCCTGCACGAGGAGATCTGGCTGCGCCGCCCTCCTGGCTTCACTGTGTCGTTTCCTCCTGGTACCCAGTGGAGCCTCCGGCGGCCGGTCTACGGTCTCCGCCAGGCGCCACGTGAGTGGCACGACACACTGAGGACTACACTTGCGGCTCTTGGGTTCGCGCCTTCTACTGCTGACCCGTCGCTGTTTCTGCGCACCGACACTTCACTGCCGCCGTTCTACATCCTCGTGTACGTCGACGACTTGGTCTTTGCCACTGCTGACACTAAGGCTCTCGCCCACGTGAAGTCGGAGCTGCAGAAGAGACACACGTGCACAGACCTGGGTGAGCTGACAAGCTATCTTGGCTTGCGGATCACCCGGGACAGAGCACGCCGCACCATCACCCTGACTCAGTCACACATGGTGCAGCAGGTCCTTCAGCGCTTCGGCTTGACCTGGTCCTCGGCACAGGCCACTCCTCTGGCTACAGGTCACTCGCTCTCAGCTCCACCTTCGGACGAGTCCGTAGAGCCGAGTGGTCCTTACCCAGAGCTAGTTGGCTGCCTCATGTACCTGATGACTTGCACTCGTCCTGACCTCGCGTACCCTCTTGGTCTTCTGGCTCGCTACGTGGCTCCTGGTCGGCACCGACCTGAGCACATGGCTGCTGCTAAGAGGGTACTGCGCTACTTGTGCAGTACATCAGGCATGGGGCTAGTGCTTGGAGGGAGGAGCTTAGTTGTTCTCACTGGGCACTCAGACGCTTCTTGGGTTGACGACCAGACTACTCAGCGGTCGTCACAGGGTTACACCTTCAGCCTTGGCTCTGGTTCAGTTTCTTGGCGTTCTACTCGCTCGTCTTCAGTTCTCAGCTCCAGTTGTGAGGCTGAGATCTACGCCACAGCCATGGCTGCACAGGAGTTGCGCTGGCTCACCTACCTGCTAACTGACTTGGGAGAGCGGCCTCGTTCTCCTCCAGTGCTGTACGTCGACAACAAGGCAGCCATTGCCTTGTGTGAGGAGCACAGACTGGAGCACAGAACGAAGCACATCGCTCTGCGTTACTTCCTGGCTCGAGAGTTGCAGCAGCGTGGTCAGCTTCGTCAGCGTTACGTGGCCACTCGGGCCAACACTGCTGATATATTCACCAAGGCACTTCAGTCTGGTGATCATCAGCGTTTTTGCACTATGCTAGGGCTTGTGCCCACTTTTCCTCACTTGCTGTAGGCTTTGCTTGTACTGTGATCTATATATATATACCTACATGCTTGCTTTGCTAGGTAGAGATCACTGTGCTGTTTGTGTTGCATATATGCCTCTGCATGTGAACTGGCCTTGTGGCCCTTCGCTTGTGCTCAGAGTGTGTGGTGACGTTGTGATCCACCCTGAGCTTGCTTTGCCTTTCTTGACTGGTCTTGTGACCCCTTGCTCTCCCCCACTTTGCCTATGGGGGTGTGTCAAATGTCATATCTGCTACAATTTGTTTAGGCTGTAGTGGGGTAGTTACTATGGGGTACAGTAAGTTTAGGGTTTCCTACTTGTACCCAACTGTTTCCTAGTGCAATCACTCTTGTTCATTCTGACAGTACAGTGCACTCCTATCAATAGCAAGCGAAGAATGGTAAGACGAGTACGAAGGCGAAAGGTCGGAATGACGCGAAGAGTCGCGTACGGCTGGCATGTCAAACTATGTTTTGCATAGTTTATATAACTGTTTGTAGTTAGTGTTGGTGTAGTTATATATTTGCTTGTTTGGTGGTGCACCTTTGCTAGTTTGCTATATGTACCTTGTGTGCTATAGTGAACACATTCATTCTCATATTCAAACATGGTATAGAGCGGTTCCTTCCTAAGGATCGATTTTCATGGGCCCACCGCTAGCCTCTCGCCATGGCGCGCCACGTTGTGCGGCCCGTAGTGCGTCTCATGAGGGCTTTCCCCCATTCAGCCCGTCGCCCGCGCGATACCTGCTGCTGCAGCCCGCCGCCCGCGAGCTATCCGCTTCTGCAGCGCGTCACCAGTCGCACGTTATCCCGTCGCGCTGCCGCCCGTCGCGTCACGTCCCGTCACCTGCCTCGTCGATCGTCGCCCGCCCCTGTCTCGCTGCGGTCCGTCGCCCCAGCCGCTCCTTCGCCCGCCGTCGCTCTGCCCGTCGCATTCCCCCCGCCCCCTGCCCGTCACCCCCCCCCCCGTCGCGACTGTTTGCGTGTGCAGCGGCGGTCGCCGTGGGGAGGAGAGGGAGGAGGGGAAGGGAGTGGCGGCGGAACGCTGTGGGGAGGAGAGAGAGGAGGGGAAGGGAGTGGCGGCGGAATGCTGTGGGGGGGAGAGGAAAGGGGGGAAGGGAGTGGCGGCGGCACATCAGCGACGACCGCCAGCGCACCAGCGCTCGCGCGCCCTTTGCTGCTGCAGCCCGTCCCCTGCACACCGTCAGCTCCTGCCCGGCGTGTAGCCCGTCTGCAGCTCGTCCCACCCGTCGCGCCCCATCAGCTGCACCAGCACCAGCGCCAGCTCTAGCGCCTACACGCCCCCTCCAGCACCAGCAGCAGCGCAAGCCGCCAGCAGAGACCGCGCCAGCAGAGACCTCGCCAGCATAGACCTCCGCCAGCAGAGTCCCCGCCAGCAGCTACACCGCCAGCAGAGAGACCCCGCCAGCAGCTACACCGCCAGCAGAGAGACCCCGCCAGCAGCTACACCGCCAGCAGAGAGACCCCGCCAGCAGCTTCACCGCCAGCAGAGAGACCCCGCCAGCAGCTTCACCGCCAGCAGAGAGACCCCCGCCAGCAGAGACCCCCCGCCAGCAGAGACCCCCGCCTGAAGAGACCCCGCCAGCAGAGCCCCCGCCAGCAGCTACACCGCCAGCAGAGAGACCCCGCCAGCAGCTCCACCGCCAGCAGAGAGACCCCGCCAGCAGCTACACCGCCAGCAGAGAGACCCCGCCAGCAGCTTCACCGCCAGCAGAGAGACCCCGCCAGCGGCTTCACCACCAGCAGAGAGACCCCCGCCAGCAGAGACCCCCCGCCAGCAGAGACCCCCGCCTGAAGAGACCCCCGTCAGCAGAGACCCCCGCCAGCAGAGACCCCGCCAGCAGAGACCCCCGCCAGCAGAGACCCCGCCAGCAGCTACACCGCCAGCAGATACCCTGCTGCAGGGACTACCGTGGGTGGGGCAGGGGTGTGGAGGAAGAAAAGGGGGGAGGGGGTGCGGTCTTGGGGGGCGGCTGTTATGGGGGGTGAGGTTAAGGGGGGGGGGGGATTTGAATGTGTGTGGGGATTTGGGGGTTACTAAGAGGGGTTTCGCCGCGCTTGGCTCCCCCCCACCTCCTCTCCTTGTCAATCTCTCACCTCCCCCCTTTGTAAAAGGGGGTTACTACGAGGGTTTCGCCACGGGTGGCTCCCCCTCAACTCCTTGCCTCATCCCTCTCTCACCTCCTCCTTCGTACTTCTCTCCTTTCCTCTCCTCTCTCTCTTTCTCTCTCGCCTCCTCCTCCTCACTTGCCCCTGTGCCGTCTTCCGCTGCGCCAGGTGTACCCCTCTACGGGCGTTCTACACTTCTACCTCCAAACAGTTCAGGGGGCGTGTCAAACTATGTTTTGCATAGTTTATATAACTGTTCGTAGTTAGTGTTAGTGTAGTTATATATTTGCTTGTTTGGTGGTGCACCTTTGCTCGTTTGCTATATGTACCTTGTGTGCTATAGTGAACACATTCATTCTCATATTCAAACAGCATCTGGACCGTCGGAGTAGAAGCATCGCGCAGCTGCACGAGCGAGGATTTTGGCGGGAACAAACTTGTTATCGTTTGGAGTCGCACGGTTGGATTTCGCTGCAATAAGGGAATGTACCTCTTAGAGTGCATGGCTAGTCTAGGTCGTTTCGAATTCCTTTGCACTATTATATAACGTATGTATGTGTTTGTTTTGATCGTCTTAGTCATTTTAGATTCACTCTGACCTGAGGTCAATACTTCCGCTGCAACACATCCTCTACGAACCTTCCTGAGGTGATCCTAGGCACGATCAACCTTCTGATCGCAACATTGTACGAGAGCGACTCAAGAATCCTTGCACTGCCACCCCCGAAATTTTCGGCGATCTAAGGTGGCGTCCGACACACGCTCATGCGTAAGGATGGCCGGAGGATCTGGAGGCCAGACAAATGTGACCGCTGAAGCGCAACCTAACCCGGTTGCGAAAAATGAGGCGACGACGACGATCAGTACCGTCGCACTCGAACAATTGCTTCAGCGAATTTCAACTCTGAAGCAAGGGCTCCAGGCGTTGCGGAATGGCGACGTCCTCCCAACCTTCTCAACCGGCCACGAATGGCCGCGATATCGCCCCGCACACCTTCTCCTTCGAAACAAATGGTTCAACACCCAAAGTCCCTCGTCCCAGCGATGACGCAATTCTCTCAGCTCAATCAAGATTTCTGCACATATAAGAAATTGAGACAAGTACCTGCTTTGACTGCAGAGATTTCTATACCTGGAGCTTTGAGCTAGAGCTGCTGCTGCAGAACGCGCAGATTTTTCACTATTTCGACGGTAGCTACGCGGGACCCTTGGCTGATACTGACGATGCCAAAGCGCAATACTACAACGCCTCGCTTATGGCGTACAGCGTGTTGCTGCGCAACATGTTGCCGGCGGAGCAGCTGGGAATCCGCACTTACAAAACAACTCCCGCTCCTGCACTGGAAGCCTGGCGACACCTCACAACGGTGTATCAGCCCAAGGATTCCGTGTTGTCGAGCCGCCTACTCTAGCAGCTGATGGAGATCAAGATGGGACCAGGAGAGAAGGCCGACAACTATATTAATCGTTGTCGGAGCATACGCGATCAAATCACGAAACCTGGGAGCTCTATTTCGTAGGAAATCTTCGTAAACATCGTGCTCGCAGGACTCGACCCTAAAAGCGACCCTGCAACGCGCTCCTCCGGCAACAGGGGGCAATCTCGAAAGCCGCCCTATGCGCCGCCCTTCTCGTCGAACAACAGGATATGGATCAGCAGCGCCCCGCGCCGCGACGAGAACGAAAACGTCTCGCCTTCTACGCCGACAACAAAGAAGAGCGACATCCGCGGCACCTCTACTGCGAAGTATGCAGAAATTTTGGGCATCTGGCCGAGCGATGCAAATTCCGCTCCTCCCCTCGCCAGACCAACACGAGCACTTGGGCTGGCCAACAAGACGCAAGACAGGATACGCGTCAAGCCCAGGGCTTTCAGCCCCCTTCGCGCAATGCGAACCCATCGGTTCAGCACCAACATCAGCAGCCGTCGCAACCTGGACCCACGCACAATGTCATTAGCAACATGACGATGATGCATACGCATGGAACCCATCGACGTTGTGTGCGCACGCCGCCGCCAGAACCAGCATAACACCCAATCGGGCCATTCACGGATAATAATCTGTTTACCCCCCGACACGACTACAACGACGATGACGACCAGGATTGGAATCTTCCAATCCCGCTGCTTGAAAGCTCCCCGCACGTTCCTGACTCACGGGTGGCACATGTCGACTGGATTTCACGCAAACAATTCATGAAATTTGATACTCCTCACATCGTCACGCCACGACTGGCGCTGCTCGCGCGCAATGACCACAGGCACGACAACACGTGGTACCTGGATAGCTGCTGCGGGCAGCACATGGTGGGCTCCGCGCATTTCATATCCAACACCGTCCCAACCCCCACGGTCACATACATCACCGTGGCGAACAACGACCGCCTACGCGCCAGCGCGCAAGGCATTGTCGTCCGCAATAAGCACGGGAGCAACACGCACATCACGTTGAATGACATGCTCATCGTGCAGAACTTGAGGTTCAACCTCCTCTCGGCGTCGCAACGCATGGACTGCGGGGTGCAACTCAGCACCGATCCCGAGACACGTGACATCATTCTGCACTACCCGGCGCCCGACAAGCCGCGCAAGCAGATCGGATGAGCACACTCTGAGAACCGCGTGTACGTGCTCGATTTCGACATTCCCGACTACGGATGAGCTGATTGATCTCATCCCGCTGCGCTTTGAACACATCCACCACCCAGATTGGAAGCATCAGGACTGGAGACCTTGGGTGCCGCACCACCCGCACAAGCGCGAAGTCCCGCTGCACGACCCCGACCTTGACGGCACCTGCGGAGATTGCCACACGCCGACTGCATCGACGAACACGATCGCAGGACGAGGACTCGCCGCGATCGCCGAAGCTGAGCGATACACGCCGCCTGACGAAGGAATGTCGGCGCTGGAGCTCGAAGTTGCGATGCACAATGTTTTCGGCACCCCAGAGGACCATCTCCCTGGAACAGCCGCGGAGCGCCTCCAAGCGATCCTGCGCGGAACACTGCGCGGAACGTTCGACGCGCGCGGAGTGGCGCGACCCTACACCAAGAGGAGCTGGCGCGTTGTGAAGCTGATGAGCTTCACCAGAAGAGCATCGCCGAAGCACGCAGAACATTCGCATGCGGCGCATGGGCTGAAGGAAGCGCCTCCAATGAAGGGGGGTGGGGGAGCAACGACGGTTGGGGCAACACAAAAGGCACACGGGCGAACGCAAGCGGAGGCTGGGGAACCGCCACGGGCGGCGCCAGCAGCGGATGGGGTACTTCCGGCGAATGTTGGGGCACATCGCAAGAGGACCAAAGGGGGGAAACGGAAGAAGTAGGAGAAACCGAACAACCGATTGTTCCTCTCGGCCGCGCCTCACGCATCCTAGCACCACCTTCGCTCCCTGCCGACATTCAGCCGCGTCGCGGCCCTTGGGACACCATCGACTGGGGCAACGAACCATCGACCTCGCGTTGCACCGCCTACGGACCTGATCCCGAGCTGCGTGAACCGACGCTTGTCCCCGGAACAGTTCCCGGGACGAACATCGCTCTCTCAGTTATTCCCGACAGTGAATTTCTTGCGCTAATGCTGAGGACAGCGAACGAAGAAGCAGTAGAGGAAGAAGCACCAGCGCCCCCAACTCCAGTACCTGAAGAAGACCCCGAAGTGGTGAGCACGCGCTACATGTGCACCTCCGGATTCCGCTCAACTGACGACCTGTGGCATCATCGCCTCGGCCATCCCTCGCGCATAACGCTGAACAACTGCATCGAAGCAGATGTGTTTGCGCCTAGCGCACTCTTGCGCCCCGACGGCTTCGAAATCATAACCACATCGCAGCCACGCGATAGCGCCGTCTGCCTCAAAGCCGCGCTGAGCCATCAGCCATTTCCGCTGCTGGAACCAGGAACCAATCGCTACCCCAAGCTGCACAAGGTATATAGCGATTTCCTTGTCGTCGGCCACTGCGGGCTCAACGACGAAGGGTACACACTTACCTTCGTCGATGCGGGACTCGCTACGTATGGATTGCGAACGTGCAGTTCCACAGCAGGGCATACGAGGTCTTCCGCCTCTGGCTGGCGCACGCGCAATGACAATCCGGGAAGAAGCTGCTAAGCTGGCAGACTGACGGCGCAACAGAATTCCGCAGTAAGGAGCTGCAGGATTACATGGCGCAAAAAGGGATACCGCACCACGTGTCACTCCGCTACGCGCATCCGCAGCAGGGCGTCGCCGAACGCAACCGCACCCTCATGACGAAGGTGCGCGCGCTACTGAAGCAGTCGAAGCTTCCCGCAACATACTGGCCGTACCCTATGCAGCACGCCGTGCGGGTGTACGACCCTCTCTCCACCACCGCTATCACGGGGAACCTATCGCCGCATGTTAAGTGGACTGGCAAGAAAGGCGACACCTCCATGCTCCGCGTGTGGGGGTGCATGGTGCAGTATCGGCCCCCTACCTCACCTATTGGCAAGTTCAAAAGCCACGTGCGATGGGGCATTCATCTGGGCATCAGTTATGAATATAAGGCATGGATTATCCTAGACCTGTTCAGCAACAAGGTCACGAATGCGCGCGACGTCGTCTTCCATGAGCGACTCAATCTCGCTCAGTACCGCGCGGATGAGCAGACGAGCGCAAACCGGGTCTACGCGAATGATGGGCACAGCTACGCTACCCCCAAAGATGAAGCCGCCGCTGCCATTCTGGAGCAGGATAACACCAGTGAGTTCCTGGACATCGGCGACGATGGCGATGACGACAGCGACGACTCGTCCCTGGGACCTGTGGGAGGAAGCAGCAGGGACCCCGCGCCGTCGTCTCCACCTGAGCCAGAGGTTGATGATGACGATGTGCAAGAGGTCGTCCCGTAGCACCGCCACGACAACACTGTCTCACGACTGTAGCTGCTGGGCCTGCACACCGCCACCTCCACGGCTCCGCGCGTCATCGAGCCCAAGAACCCGCGACAAGCGCTAACGGGGCCGCACAAGAAGGAATGGCGCGAAGCCATGGATGCAAAAATCAAGGATTCGAAGTCGCGCGATACCTGGGTGCTTGTCGATCACGCATCAATTAAAGGAAGGAGAGTCCTTTCGGACAAGTGGGTCTTCCGCGTAAAAACCGCAGCAGTTGGGACGATCAAGCGTTTTAAAGCGTGCTGAGTGGTACGCGGTTACCATCAGAGGCACGGCATCAATTTCGATCACACCTTCGCCCCGGTCAGCTGACATACCTCCATTAGAATTCTTCTCGCCATCGCTGCAGCAAGGCACTTGCCGCTCTGCCAGATTGATGTGAAGAACGCGTTCCTTTACGCGTTAGTGGACGCAACAATTTTCGTGGAGCAGCCTCACACTTACGGCGAAGAGGACCCGTGCGTGTCTCCGCTAAAGCAAGCACCACGGCCCCGGCAGCAGCACCTGCACCAAATCCTACTCGAGATAGGATTCACGCAACTGCCGCATGACCCAGGCATGTATCACCTGCATTTTTGCGGCGATTATATCATGCTCACCGTGTATGTCGACGACTTGCTCTACACAGGGACAAGCAACACGCTACTCGACCAGTTCGAAAAGAACCTGGCGATGCGCTTCGACATCACCACTAATCACGACATGAAGCAGTTCATGGGCCTTAATAACACTTACGCGCCAGAGGCCGTTCATCTCTCAGCTGCTAAGTACGCTGAAACACTAGAGAAGCGGTTCAGCATCTCCCCTGCACCACTCTCCACTCCTTATAGCACGCCTAGACCGAACTACAAACCCGACAACAAAGCCCTATCCCCCGCATGTCTTCACACTTACCAACATCAACTGAGATACCCTCTCTTTGCCTCAGTAACCTGCAGGCCAGACCTCTCGTATATCGCGAGCCAGCTGGCTCAGTACTCTCGCAAACCAACAGCTGAAAATCTCCTAAATCTTCAGCGGACCCTACAATTGTTCATCTCCACCCCCAACATTGGGCTCTGCTACTCCATAGTCACAACCCCCTCTTTCAACCTCATCGGCTACGTGGATGCCAATCACGCTGCTGACCCCGACAATCGACGGTCCAGAATCGGGTTCCTGTTCCGCCTCGAGCCAACATGTCCCATCTCCTGGAATTCACAGAAGCATGAACTGGTTGCCCTGTCATTGGCGGAAGCTGAAATCATCGCCGCGACAGCAGCAGTTCGCAAAAGACTCTACATACAGGAGCTCCGGTAGGAGGCGAAAATTCCAACTTCGCCAACTTTTCTCCTGCACTGCGACAACCAGAGCGCGATTAGAATCGCGAACAAGCCGGGATTCGTCAACCGCACCAAACACATCGCGCTGCGGTACTTCTTCGTCAAGGACAAAGTTGACAAGGGCAAGGTCGATCTGCCCTATTGCGCAACGGGTGACATGGCAGCTGACTTTCTCACAAAGCGACTGCCCCGTCAGCAGTACCGGTACTGCTCCGAACTCAGCGGAGTGGTCAAGCGAGTCAAGATTTGCTACGGACATAAGTGAAGGGGGGTGTTACGAATAGTAAATTGAGAAGTACTATGAACTCATATCAGTAGCAAGCGAAGAATGCTAAGACGAGTACGAAGGCGAAAGGTCGGAATGACGCGAAGAGTCGCGTACGGTCGGCAAGCATCTGGACCATCGGAGCAGAAGCATCGAGCATCTGCAGGAGCGAGGATTTAGGCGGGAACATGTTTGTAATCGTCTGGAGTCGCACGGTTTGATTACGCTGCAATAAGGGAATGTACATATAGAGTACATGGCTAGTGTTGGTCGTTTTGAATTCCTTTGTAGTATTATATAAACCAATGTATGTGTTTGTTTTAATCATCCCAATCATTTTAAATTCACTCTGACCTAAGAGCGTATTCCTACGGCCTCATATCAGGCCACATCGTATCAAGATTGTACTTTTTGCCTGGTAAAACTAGCGAGAGGTTTTGGGTTTAGGGAATTTTCAGTATGAGCCTGATATGAGGTTCTCTTGATACGAGGTGTAGGAATACACTCTAAGGTCAATACTTCCGCTGCAACACACTATCTACGAACCTTCATGAGGTGATCCTATGCAAGATCAACCTTCTATCGCAACAAAATCTATGCAATGTTGCCAGAAAAATAGGCCTAATCGAGGAAAGGTTGTTAGCTAGCGTGCAGTGTATCAAACACTAGGAGTCTTCAATGGAGAAGAACGATCAAGGGCCTCTGCAACGTAATGAATTTCAAAACGTCCTTTTGGTTAGGGTTCATTAAATCAAACGTTGTTGATTTCAACGGACTCTCTTGTATAGAACCTCTGTCACCGCCAAACCAAACACACGAGGCAAGGAGCATCCACTGATTTCCCGAACCAAGTTTCTTGAACTTTGTGCGCTGCCCCTTGGCCAACATTATTTGAACCCAAACCTGCAACGCGTTCTACTCCCCCACCTCCCGAAACCCCAGCTGCTCCGAACCACCCCAGACTGCGCTGCTTTTAGCAGACGGGATTAGCTTCGGAAAAACCTAGGCGACCTAGGCTTCGTAGACCAAACCTCGCCCTTCCAAAACCACATGCTTGAAATCCTAGTGGTTTGATGCCATAATTGTGACTGGCAGCATTTCATTGCAAAGCATAGCACGAAACCACATGTCAGCGCATATAACCGCATACGATCGCACTAAACAAGCTGAGTATCGAGCATCAGCCCCACACCCTTCGCACTTAGTGAACCGCAACGCAGTCGGCAGATTGTTAGCGGACGCGTCGCAGACTCACAGCATTGCATCATCGTGCAATGACGCACCTTGGGCTGCTGTGCCGCGATATGGACAACCCACCTCCCGCCATGAGACCCGAGGCAGAAGGTTTTTTTACCGTGATATTCTTTCATGCAGTCCGAAACGTCAGATCGCCGTTACTATTGGTACTTTATTCGCAGCGCGAGCTCTGGTTCATCTTCGATATAGTCACACGCAGTGGTACTAAAGAGAGCGCTGGGTGTTACAGTACCGACTCAGCATGAATTTCCGCAATTGCCATGGCTGCAGCCTAGGCTGGCGAGAACCGTCGTCAGATCACACACGCGCGCGCCGCCGCGCATCCCCCCCTCCGCGTAGCCGCAGCGCGGCTCTGCGACCGACAGCGCGGCGCGTTGAGCGAATTGCACGGGGCGGACAGCAACACCTCCCCCTTGTCGTCCGCATCACCCCTTGTGTGTTCCCCTCGCGCCTCACGTGCCTTGCGCCCCTCGACCGCCTCGCGCGCCTTGCGCTCGTCGCGCTTCTTGCGCTGCTGCTGTGCCCTCCGTGCCGGAGCTCCCAAGCGCCGCCAGCAGGCCCCCCCGCGGCGGCGCCGCCACTTGCCCCACCCGTCGCGGCGCCGCCAACAGTTTCCCCCGCGGCGCCTCCCCCGCAAAAGACCGCCGCCACTCAAGGTGCGGTGAGCAGAGGTGGGAGGGCGAGAGACGAGGAGGATAGATTAAAGGTTGTGAGAGAAATACTGCCGTAGTAGGTCCCTGGCCCGGGAGAACGCTGGTGCTTCGCCTGGCAGTCACGTGTCAGCGGTTATAGCCGGCCGAGTAGGCAGATGAGCGGCAGTGGGCGGCAGTGGGCGGCAGTGGGCAGAGCGGAATATGGGTGGGAAATGGGAGGGAAATGAGGGGGGATGAGAGGAGAGTGGGGGGGAATGGGAGGAGAATGGGGGGAATGGAGGGGAATGGGGAGGAATGGGGGCGAATGGAGGAGAATGAGGGGGAACAGGAGGGGAATGGGGGGGAATGGGAGGTGAATGGGGAGAAATGGGAGGGGAATGGGGGGGAATGAAAGGGTAATGGGGGGAAATGGGAGGGGAATGGGGGGGGAATGGGGGGGAATGGGAGGTTAATGCGCGGGAATGGGAGGGGAAGGGAGGACTGGGGGAGTGAATGAGAGGTAATGGGAGAAAGGATGGGTCTAAGACGGCACGACCACAACAATGGGATTGGAAGGAAAGGAATGTGAAGGAAAGGGGTTGGATGGGATGGGAGGAAATGGGAGTGGATAGAAGGAAATGCGGTGCTGGGTTGGGCTGGGCGGCATGGGACATCCATCACATCATACCCGCCTTCTCCTGCCTTGCCCTGCAATCCCGTAAACACCGCATCTCTTCATTCTCCCTCACCTTACCCCCCTCCCTCCTCCGCTCTCGCCCGTCGCCCCTCCGCCCCACCAGTGGTGGCGCGTCTGGTGCAGCACTGGAAGCTGGCGATGCATGGGCACTGTCAGTCATTATCCCCCTCCGCTGTCGCCCGTCCCCTCTCCGCCCCACCCAGTGGTGGCGCGTCTGGTGCAGCACTGGAAGGTGGCGATGCATGGGCACTGTCAGTCATTATCCCCCTCCGCTGTCGCCCGTCCCCTCTCCGCCCCACCCAGTGGTGGCGCGTCTGGTGCAGCACTGGAAGCTGGCGATGCATGGGCACTGTCAGTCATTATCCCCCTCCGCTGTCGCCTGTCCCCTCTCCGCCCCACCCAGTGGTGGCGCGTCTGGTGCAGCACTGGAAGCTGGCGATGCATGGGCACTGTCAGTCATTATCCCCCTCCGCTGTCGCCCGTCCCCTCTCCGCCCCACCAGTGGTGGCGCGTCTGGTGCAGCACTGGAAGGTGGCGATGCATGGGCACTGTCAGTCATTATCCCCCTCCGCTGTCGCCTGTCCCCTCTCCGCCCCACCCAGTGGTGGCGCGTCTGGTGCAGCACTGGAAGGTGGCGATGCATGGGCACTGTCAGTCATTATCCCCCTCCGCTGTCGCCTGTCCCCTCTCCGCCCCACCCAGTGGAGGCGCGTCTGGTGCAGCACTGGAAGCTGGCGATGCATGGGCACTGTCAGTCATTATCCCCCTCCGCTGTCGCCCGTCCCCTCTCCGCCCCACCAGTGGTGGCGCGTCTGGTGCAGCACTGGAAGGTGGCGATGCATGGGCACTGTCAGTCATTATCCCCCTCCGCTGTCGCCTGTCCCCTCTCCGCCCCACCCAGTGGTGGCGCGTCTGGTGCAGCACTGGAAGCTGGCGATGCATGGGCACTGTCAGTCATTATCCCCCTCCGCTGTCGCCCGTCCCCTCTCCGCCCCACCAGTGGTGGCGCGTCTGGTGCAGCACTGGAAGGTGGCGATGCATGGGCACTGTCAGTCATTATCCCCCTCCGCTGTCGCCCGTCCCCTCTCCGCCCCACCCAGTGGTGGCGCGTCTGGTGCAGCACTGGAAGCTGGCGATGCATGGGCACTGTCAGTCATTATCCCCCTCCGCTGTCGCCCGTCCCCTCTCCGCCCCACCAGTGGTGGCGCGTCTGGTGCAGCACTGGAAGCTGGCGATGCATGGGCACTGTCAGTCATTATCCCCCTCCGCTGTCGCCCGTCCCCTCTCCGCCCCACCCAGTGGTGGCGCGTCTGGTGCAGCACTGGAAGCCTGAGAAGCCGTTCAGGGCGTGGAGGGAAACGAGCGATGTGTGCTCGCTCAAGGGAAAGCACCTGCGTATCAACTGCTCGGCTGATGGCGATGTTGTGTCACTGTGCGTGCCTGCTGTGCCATCACTTGCCATCACATGCCATGCCACGCCACGCTACGCCACGCCACGCCACGCCACGCCATGCCACGCCATGCCATGCCATGCCATGCCACGCCATGCCTTGCCATGCCACGCCATGCCATGCCATGCCATGCCATGCAGTAGTGTCACACTTGCAAACACTTGGCCGCACATGCCCATGCATTCATGCCCATGCACTCATGCCCATGCACACAACACAATTTCTCTGAAACACATTCAGAGTGATTGAGCACACTCATAGAGTCACACGTGATTCTACCCCATGTCGTCATGCCACTCGTGCCGCTTGTGCTGGCAGTGCCTTGTGAAAGCTCCATATTGGCAACCTCACCGCCCTCACCTCTCTGTACGCCCCCTCGCGCCCCTCGTCACTCCCACATGCCCCGCGTCACTCCCACATGCCCCTCGTCACTCCCACATGCCCCTCGTCACTCCCACATGCCCCGCGTCACTCCCACATGCCCCTCGTCACTCCCACATGCCCCTAGCATTCTCCTCTCTGCCCTCTCCCCACCCTCCTCCGCCCACCCCCGCCCTCCTCCGCCCATCCCCGCCCTCCTCCGCCCATCCCTGCCCTCCTCTGCCCGCCTCACTAACCTTCACCGTCCCCCGCCGTGGCAGCAAGCTGAGCACCAATCGCTTCCGCGGCCTTCTGCCTGACTCCCTCAGTCGCCTCACCAAACTCGAAAGCCTGTGAGTCCCACTTGTCCTTCTTGTGAGGGCTGTTTTTGATTTGGCCCACCTGCAATCACGGCTGCTCGTGACTTACCCACATCAAATGCTGTGACCCGGATGACATGCGCCGTGCTGTGCTGCGCTGTGCTGTGCTGTGCTGTGCTGTGCTGTGCTGTGCTGTGCTGTGCTGTGCTGTGCTGTGCTGTGCTGTGCTGTGCTGTGCTGTGCTGCACTGCACTGTGCTGTGCTGTGCTGTGCTGTGAAGAAGAACCCACTCTCAAAGTATGTGATGGGTACGCACGAGCAACGAGGCGAGTGGTTCTTGCTCATGCCTATTGAAGGGGGTCCACGGTGGAAGTGCAGGTGAAAGTGCGGTGGAAGTGCAGGTTCAATGCAATCAAGGGAGGAACCTCTCATGCTGCCAAGTCCTGGAGGGATGGAAGCTCCTTCTCACTTAGGTTAGGCCGAGCTGCTTTTTGAGTGGCCTCAGAAATCGTCTCGTGCACATTCATGCTGAGATTCTCTTCATAT